CTGGGGAGCTAACCTACTCACGCGCCCACGCCCAAGGAAAAACAAACAAAACCAAAAACAATAAGTATAGCCCGAGTGCAGTAACCCCAAACAGGGTTTTTAGACCCACTGCGGTTTCCAAGGTCGATTGCGTGCCCGTCCAGTGCGGGCTGGCATGCCATGTTAAAACATGCATCCTCCTCCTCCTGCTCCTGCTCCTCCTCCTCCACCTCCTCTTCATCCCGAACGGCATCTCGGAACCCAGAGTTGCGAGGATGTCTCCAGCGTAGTGGGCTGGACCACCTCGCGCGCGGCATCTCGGACCCCAGAGTTGCGACGATGTCTCGGGCGAAACGTGCTGCGAGGAAGTCTCAGGCGAAACGGGCCAGACCACCTCGAGCGCGGCGTCTCAGAGCTCCGAGTTGCGGGGGCCTCCTGGGGCCTCCTGGGACCTCCTGGTGACCTCCTGGGGCTTCCTCCTGGGCCTCCTGTGGCCTCCTGGACCCCACCTGGGGCTTCCTGAAGCCTCTTGGGGCTCCCAGGAGGGGATATCTAACATGTGGCCGCTTGGGCCCTTCCAAATGGGGGGGGGGGCACAAGAGCAGGAATGACGGAGACGGCGACGGGGAGGCGGAGGCAGAGGCACAGCAGCGAAAGGCGAGAGGCGTGAGGAGGAAGGAGGGAAGAGGAGGCAGGCGGGAGGCAAGAGGAGGGAGGTGGGAGAAATGAAAGAGGTTTCAGGCAGAACGGGGCCATCTCGTGCGCAGCATCTCGAAGAACCCTGACGAAGAACCAGTCCCGGGGACGAGATCGAGAGGTCCGCGGGCGCACGTCTCGAAACAAAAATCGTGACGTCGGATGTCTGCGGAGGGCGGAAGGCAGGGCGCGCATGGCGGCATCTCGGAGCTTCGCATTGTGAGGATGGCTCGGGAGAAACGGGCTGGACCACCTCGCGTGCGGCATCTCGGAACTCAGTATTGGAAGGATGCCCCAAGCGAAACGGGCCGTTCTACCTCTCGACTCCCGTTAAGCCCTCTCATGCAACTCCATTCCTAATCCCTCCTCCTCCTCCTCCTCCTCCTCCTTCTCGTCCTCCTCCTCCTCCTCCTGCCTGCTCCCTCCTCCTCCTCATCCTCCTCTCCTCCTCCTCCTCCTCCGGCACGTTTTGAGACGTCGCTAAAAGGTATATAGAAATCCTGTTTGGGGAACCCTGTCTCGGAGCCCAGAGTTGCGAGGATGTCCCAGGTCGCACCTGGTCGACGAGTAAGCTGTCGGGTCGCGGGCAACTTTAAGAAGCAAACTTTAAGAGGAACTCAGAAGCAACTTTAAGAGGAAGCGGGGGAGGGCGCGGAAGCGAGGGGGCATGTCGTGATGGTTCCCTCGGGGATGATATCGAGAGGTACACGGCGCACGTCTCAAAAGAAAAATCGTGACGTCGGATGCCTGGGGAGGGCGGAAGGCAGTGCGCGCATGACGGATGCTGAGGCGGCAGAAACGACGACGGCGGGGGCGGGGAGGCGGAGGCAGAGGCGCAGCAGCGGGAGGCGGGAGGCGGGAGGAGGGAGGAGGGAAGAGGAACCAGGCGGGAAGTGGGAAGAGGGAGGCGGGAGAAGGAATGATAGAGGTTGTGATTGGAGCTCCTGTGCTACGAAACGTCTCAGGCAGAATGGGCCAGACCATCTCGCGCGCAACATCTTCGAGCCTCGCATTGCGAGGATGGCTCAATCGAAACGGGCCGGACCACCTCGCGAGCGACATCTTGGAGCTCAATATTGGAAGGATGTCTCAGACGAAACGCGCCAGACAATCTTTCGCACACGTTTTGACCAGTCCACATCGCACTCGCTTGCCGTTAGGTCCTCTCCTGCAACTCCCGTCCTTCTCCCTCCTCCTCCTCCTCCTCCTCCTCCTCCTCCTCCTCCTCCTCCTCCTCCTCCTCCTCCTCCCCCTCCTCCTGCCTGCTCCCTCATGCACATCATCCGCCTCCTCCTTCTCCCTTCCATCTCCTTCTCCTTCTCCTCCTCCTCCTCCTCCTCCTCCTCCTCCTCGACCTCCTCTTCATCCCGAACGGCATCTCGGAGCCTAGAGTTGCGAGGATGTCTCGAGCGTAACGGGCTGGACCACCTCGCGCGCGGCATCTCGGACCCCAGAGTTGCGACGATTTCTCGGGCAAACGTGCTGCGAGGAAGTCTCAGGCGAAACGGGCCGGACCACCTCGAGCGCGGCGTCTCAGAGCTCCGAGTTGCGGGGGCCTCCTGGTGCCTCCCGGGGCCTCCTGGGGACCTCCTGGGGCTTCCTCCTGGGCCTCCTGTGGCCTCCTGGACTCCACCTGGGGTCTCCTGACGCCTCTTGGGGCTCCCAGGGTGGATATCTAACCTGTGGCCGTTTGGGCCTCTCCAAATGGAGGGGGGGGCACAAGAGCAGGAAAAATGAAAGAATCGACACCGGATGTAATTAACTTCACACGTTCTGATAGGCGGCCTCCTGGGGCCTCCTGGGAGCCTCCTAGGAATCTCCTGGGGACCCCTGGGGCCTGTCCTGGGCGTCCTGCGGCCTCCTGGAGCTCTCTGGGGTGGGGCCTCCCCCTCCTCCTGCCTGCTCCCTCATGCACATCATCCGCCTCCTCCTTCTCCCTTCGATCTCCTCCTCCTCCTCCTCCTCCTCCTCCTCCTCCTCCTCCTCCACCTCCTCTTCATCCCGAACGGCATCTCGGAGCCTAGAGTTGCGAGGATGTCTCCAGCGTAACGGGCTGGACCACCTCGCGCGCGGCATTTCGGACCCCAGAGTTGCGACGATGTCTCGGGCGAAACGTGCTGCGAGGAAGTCTCAGGCGAAACGTGCCAGACCACCTCGAGCGCGGCGTCTCAGAGCTCCGAGTTGCGGGGGCCTCCTGGGCCTCCTGGGACCTCCTGGTGACCTCCTGGGGCTTCCTCCTGGGCCTCCTGTGGCCTCCTGGACCCCACCTGGGGCTTCCTGAAGCCTCTTGGGGCTCCCAGCCGGGATATCTAACCTGTGGCCATTTGGGCCTCTCCAAATGGAGGAGGGGGGGGGGCACAAGAGCAGGAAAAATCAGCGAATCGACACCGGATGTGTATTAACTTGACACGTTCTGATAGGCAGCCTCCTGGGGCCTCCTGGGAGCCTCCTGGGAATCCTGCGGCCTCCTGGTGCCTCCTGGGACCCCTGGGGCCTGTCCTGGGCGTCCTGCGGCCTCCTGGTGCCTCCTGGGGCCTCCTGGGGACCTCCTGGAGCTTCCTCCTGGGCCTCCTGTGGCCTCCTGAACTCCACCTGAGGTTTCCTGAAGGCTCTTGGGGCTCCCAGGGGGGATATCTAACCTGTGGCCGCTTGGGCCCCTCAAAATGGAGGTGGGGGGCACAAGAGCAGGAAAAATCAACGAATCGACACCGGATGTGTATTAACTTGACACGTTCTGATAGAGGGCCTCCTGGGGCCTCCTGGGAGCCTCCTGGGAATCTCCTGGGGGCCCCTGGGGCCTGTCCTGGGCGTTCTGCGGCCTCCTGGACCTCTCTGGGGCCTCCTGAGGCTCGCAGGGTCCCATGGAGGATATGTAACATGTGGTCTTCTGGGCGCCCAGGCTGGACCACCTCTCGCGCAGCATCTGAGAGCTCAGAGTTGCGAGAATGTCTTGTGCGAAACAAGCCGGACCACCTTGCGCACTGCATCTCAGAGCTCAAAGAGTTTTTTTTTGGGCAAAAACAAGGATGTCTCCAGGCGAAACGGGAGGACCACCTCGCGCAGGCGATCTTCAGAGCTCAGAAGTTCGGGATGTCTCAGGCGAAACGGCCGGACCCCTCTCCGCGCGCATCTCCGAGTCAGAGTTTCGCGAGGATGCTCAGGCAAATGGGCCGGACAACTTCGCGCAAGGCTCGCAGAAGCTCAGATGAGCTCGAGTTGGAGGATGTCTCCAGGCGAAACGGCCCGGACCACCTCTCGCACGGCAACTCGGGGCTCAGAGTTTCGAGGATGTCTCAAGCGAAACGGCCCGGACCACCTCTCGCGCGGCGTCCCGGAGCGCAACTTTTTGAGGATGTCTCAGGCGAAACGGCCCGGACCACCTCTCGCGCGGTGTCCCGGAGCGCAACTTTTTGAGGATGTCTCAGGCGAAACGGCCACAGGAAACACCTCTCCCGCCCTCGCCACCTCTCGCACGGCCCCTCAGGGCTCAGATTTTTCGGCGCGAGATTCTCAAAAGGGCCCGAAAACGGCCCCGGCAACCTCTCGCGCGGCGTCCCGGAGCGCACTTTTTGAGGATGTCTCAAGCGAAACGGCCCGGACCACCTCTCGCGCGGCGTCCCGGAGCGCAACTTTTCGAGGATGTCTCAGGCGAAACGGCCAATCCCGGCCAACTCAGAAACGAGAGTTGTGAGGATGTCTCAAGCGAAACGGCCAAAACCATCAAATTCTTGTGAGGATGTCTCTGCTCCGACTTCCCTCGGCCGGAGTTAGTTTCTACCACAACAGCACCCCGTTCAGCAAGCTGTTTGGGGAAAAAATTGGCGATGCGGCGCGATCCTCCGACCTTGCCATCTACTCGGACCCCACCTGGGAGGCCTGTCCTATATACACAGGGAGTCCGAGGAGGAAGGAGAAGCATACGACAAAGTATTCGGGCATGGCCCCTGTGCGTGTGTCAAAGTGATCAAGGTCCGGCGAGGCAGCGGGACCTGCCCATCCCCACCCCCCCTCCCATAGCATGCAAATCAAGTGTCCTGGCATCGCTCGGACGTGTGTATTTTTTCTCGAGCGAACAAACACATCTTGGATCATCGAGCGAATAGAAACACGCACGAAACCGAAACATGCACAGGGAATGGACGTCCGAGCGATGGAAAGGTGGGGGCAGCTCGGCCTTGGGGTTGGAGCGCGCTCCCACCCAGCGAACGGAAGGCGCTCACGCGCGGTGCCGCTGCCGTCGGCTTGGCGAGAGGAGAGTTCGCTGGCCGCGCAGGGGCGGGAGCGGAGCTTCCCAAAATTCGTGCTGTTCCGTAGCAATGTTGGCTCGAGTCCATAGTGCTTCGGCACAGGACCCTACATTATTTCACCAGCCTCGAACGTATCCCTATCCCTGAGATTGACACGCCAAAAGGCGATGACGGTCTTAGGGATTCGCCCTCAAAAAATCAGGGAATCCCTAAGATTGGCATCGTGGTGAGGAGGTGCCCAGCATAGGGATAGGGATATGTTCCAGGCTGGTAATTATTGGCGTGGGGGAAATCGTTGCCACTGACAGTTTTCGACGCCCCGCTGCCTGGTCAGACGAGGTGATTCTGGCATTCCTGTGAGCTCCTGTTGGAGCACTCCAGTCTTCAGAGAGTCCTTCGCCGATGACATATGCTCCTGTTGACTCTTGGCGCCAGAATGCGCCGTGGACAGGACAGCAGCAGTCATGGGGACCGCAGTGCCCGCAGCGAGGAGTCTCGGTTCAGTCACCCTTCGCCCTCGCGGGCGCGGCCTCTTGGCACTCTGCCCTAGTCTCCTCGCCCTTCGCGAACACCAGAGAGGGCTCCCGTGGGAAGAAGTCTGTCATGTGGGCGTGCATCTTCTGCCCCTGCAAGAAGAACCGCCTGCAGTCCTCCGATTGCAAGCGCTGTGGGAAGGAACGAGCTGGACCTGGGTTTCTGCCGCTGGCGCCGCGTCGAGGAGCGCGGGGCCCTCCGCACAATGGCGCCGGTGGTCATGTTCACCGTAGCACACCGGACACGTCCACCGATGAGCTCAAGGGCCTGGCCTCCATGCCCCATAAGTGCGGGGACGCCACAGGTGCTGATTGGTATCAGTCAGTCCTCGACAAAAAGAAGTCAGCGACGCGAGGGCTTCCTCGTCAGCAGCGCATCGCCACAGCGTCCAGCAGTATCCGTATAGGCGAGGCGAAACTGGACAAAGCCGCCAAGGTGTATGAGGACATGTCTTCTCCTCGTGCCGAGCAGCAGCGCTCCGTGGCCTCGTTATCGAACGAATTGGCATCAGCTGGGCTGTTACACAAATCCTTTCTTGGCAAGTTGCACGCGACAGTCGCAGCCCCAGTTGCCCCGCCCTCTCCCCCGAAGAAGTACGAATGGTTTGTGCGTGATCTGATCGCGGGAGAAGTTGCCCAGACCCCCCTCGTAGTCGGTTGCTTGCAGACGGCGGCGCCGGCCTGGAGCTTGTCGGCAGAGGGCAGGCAGCAGGCGGAGGTGTTGGTGGAATCTTTCAAGAGGGGGCCTCGAGGAGGCCACTACATCGTTGTCCAAACAAGCTGTGCAGCCCCTCAGTGGGCCCTGGAAACGACAGGGCCGTTTTTTTTACCGGTTCCGTTCTGCCGTTTTTGTTGCCGGTTCCAACGCCGTTTTTTACTTGTGTCGTCGCCGTTGGACCGGTTCCGGCTCCGGTTCCAATCCTGGAGCCGCATTTGTTGCCGTTTCCGGTCGCCGTTTTTTTGGCGTTTCCATTTTCAAGGGACATTTTTTTGGAAACGGTGGAAAAACGGCCCTGCCGTTTCCGGGGCCCACAATGTGTGCAGCCTTACCTGAACGTCTCAGAGCTACACGTCGGCGGATCGGCCTCCCTGCCGATGGCGCAGCGCCTGCTGCTGGCGGAGGAGGCGCAATGTCCGCCGTCGCAGCCTCGCGCCGACCCCGAGCCGTTGGCCGGCAGGCAGCGGCGAGCTCGGCGACGGCTGGCCCGCCAGCCGCTGGGCCGGGCCCCGTCGGCACGGCATCCGTGGATTCCGCAGGCGTGGGTTCCCAGACCCCCTCGAGTTCTGAAAAAATCACGACGGGAGGTTTTTCACCATTTTTGGCGTTTGGGGGCCCTTACCGGCCCTCGGGACCGTCAAAAAACGACTCAGGACGAAAAACCGGCTCCGGGGAATGGGTCGAGGCCTCGGGGGGTCGACGTCATGAAAAAATCATGACGTCGGGGGTCTGGGTTTGCGGAGCAAGGCCTGCAGCATCGCCAACCAGGGGGGGGCCCCGCCAGCCGAAGCTTCAGCAGCGGAGGAGGCCCCCCCACAAGCACGCTCGCACGCGTCCGTCGTCAGCTGTTGCTGGAGGGCTCTGAACCTGGTGAAGACCGAGGCTCAAGCCATCAGCGCACCCTTCCCCATCTGGATTTCTACCCAGGTCTTATGGGATCCCCGGGGCCCGATCTGGCGACGTCGGCCGTGGTGCGCTCGCCTCCCATGGGGTGACCTGTCTTTGGTGTTTCGCTCTGCGAACGCTTCCGGCTGGGGTTCGGCCCGCAGCTGGCCGAGGCAGACTGGAGCCCACGGGGCACGCCTGCAAGAGCACCGCCGTAGGAGCCGGGAAGATGCTGACCAGGCCTCGGCGTGGGCCGTCCGACAGGGGTGGAAGTCTCTGTGGGCCCCCGCGCTTCCTGGCGAACCCTCGGGCACTCGTGGCGGCGCGGCTATCTTCGCTCGCGCCTTCCTGGGGCGACATCTCCTCGGTCGGTCTTCTCTCCTTGAAGGGCGCGCGGTAGGAGGGGTGGCTCAGCTTCCAGGAGGCGCTAGCATAGCGGTGGCCAGTGTTCATTTACTGCAGGGAGCTGGAGCTCCGAGCATCTCGGGTATGAAAGGAGTCGGGGATTTCGTTGCATCTTCCGGATTGCCGTGGCCTGTGGGAGGCGATTTTAACCTGAGGCCCGACACTTTCCTCCAGCCTTCTTTCCTGGACGAGGTCAAAGGCGAGCTGCTGGCGCGCCCCCCCCCCCCGCCCGCTCGACCACTGGGGCCGCGGGGGCGAGCATCTTTAGACAGCCGCGCGCGGCCTTGGCCAAGCAGCCAGATCGGTCGCCATCGATGGGGAGGCCGACCTCATTCCTCACATTACCAGCCTGGAACATGTCCCTATCCCTATGCTGGGCATCTCCCCATCACGATGCCAATCTTAGGGATTCCCGTATCTTTGGAGGGCGCATCCTTAAGATTGTCATCGCCTTTTGGCGCGTCAATCTGAGGGATAGGGATACGTTCGAGGCTGGTAATCACATCCCCGTGGAGCTTACTCTTGCCCCGCGGCTCGCCGCCCTCGAAGCCGCGGCTTTTCGGGGACCTCCGCGGAGCTGCCGCGATCGAGTGATATCGGACCTCCTAGTCGACCTCCCCCGCGCGCCCAGCTGCGCACCGAGCTGGGCGAGGCCGCCGCGGTAGCTGGGGCGGGGAAGGGCGTCGCCGCTCAGGGGCGATTGGGCGGGGTTTACAAATTGATGGACCGACGCGGCTGAGACCGAACCCTGCAATCGCGCCGGCGCTGTTCCACCCGAGATGGGCCCCCGTGGGCCCGCGGCAAAATCGTCAGGAAGAGCATGGTGGGCTCCGACGCTAAGGGGCACGAGCGTCTCGGTTTGCGCGCGACTCAGCGGCGTCACTCGAAACTCCCCAATGTGCCCCCACGGCTGGTGCCGGAGAGTCTGGCCAAGGGCAACGGGAAACGGAGAGACGTCGCCGCTGACTGACTGTAAGGCTGCTCGCGCCGCCCTCCTCCTTTGCGCCGAGGCAGGCGACTGCTGGCCGGGAAAGTCGAGCGGCACTCTTTCAAGAGGGGAAAAAAAGCACAGACACAATTCATCGCCGACCCCCAGGAAAATATGGGAAAATATAAGAAGTGGGGGGGGGGGGAACAGAAACCCCGAAACTATGGGAAGATATGGGGAATCCTTTTATTTGTGTGTATTCATTGGTGTGTCCTGGGGCCCCATTCACTCTTTGCCGAAGCTCTCGAGCAGGCGAGCGGCGCGGCCCTCGGTCGGTCGACGCCGCCGGCAGCCTTGGCGCGCGCGCGTCCGGGGCCGCCGCCGATCCGCGGGGTCGGCGGCGGTCGGGGCCGGAGCGAGAGGGCGGGGGCTGCGTGGACAGAATCGCTCAAGGCCCAGACCCCCTCGAGTTATGAAAAAAACACGACGGGAGGTTTTTCATTCCCAACCATCCTGTGGTGTTGGGTCCTCGTTTTGAAGAGACGGTGCCCCGCGTTCTCCTTCCTTCCTTCCTTCCTTCCTCCCGCTGCCTCCTCCCCCCTCCCATCATCATCATCATCATCAACACCCATTTCGGCACACCCCTCACACGTTTCGTGGCTCCATAGGGAGCTCCACCGAAGGCCCCAGTGCCCGCGGCCGCATGCGTCCCCCACACCCATTTCGGCACACCCCTCACACGCTTCGTGGGCTCCATAGGGAGCTCCACCGAAGGCCCCAGTGCCCGCGGCCGCATGCGTCCCCACACCCATTTCGGCACACCCCTCACACGTTTCGTGGCTCCATAGGGAAGCTCCACCGAAGGCCCCAGTGCCCGCGGCCGCATGCGTCCCCCACACCCATTTCGGCACACCCCTCACACGCTTCGTGGCTCCATAGGGAGCTCCACCGAAGGCCCCAGTGCCCGCGGCCGCATGCGTCCCCCACACCCATTTCGGCACACCCCTCACACGTTTCGTGGCTCCATAGGGAGCTCCACCGAAGGCCCCAGTGCCCGCGAGCCGCACTGCTAAAAATACCCCCACAAAACCCATTTCGGCACACCCCTCACACGTTTCGTGGCTCCATAGGGAGCTCCACCGAAGGCCCCAGTCCCCGCGCCCGCATGCGTCACCCACACCCATTTCGGCACACCCCTCACACGTTTCGTGGCTCCATAGGGAGCTCCACCGAAGGCCCCAGTGCCCGCGCCCGCATGCGTCACCCACACCCATTTCGGCACACCCCTCACACGTTTCGTGGCTCCATAGGGAGCTCCACCGAAGGCCCCAGTGCCCGCGGCCGCATGCGTCCCCCACACCATTTCGGCACACCCCTCACACGTTTCGTGGCTCCATAGGGAGCTCCACCGAAGGCCCCAGTGCCCGCGGCCGCATGCGTCCCCCACACCAATTTCGGCACACCCCTCACACGTTTCGTGGATCCATAGGGAGCTCCACCGAAGGCCCCAGTGCCCGCGGCCGCATGCGTCCCCCACACCCATTTCGGCACACCCCTCACACGTTTCGTGGCTCCATAGGGAGCTCCACCGAAGGCCCCAGTGCCCGCCGCCGCAAGCGTCCCCCACCCCCCCATTTCGGCACACCCCTCACACGTTTCGTGGCTCCATAGGGAGCTCCACCGAAGGCCCCAGTGCCCGCGGCCGCATGCGTCACCCACACCTATTTCGGCACACCCCTCACACGTTTCGTGGCTCCATAAGGAGCCCCACCGAAGGCCTCAATGCCGCCGCCCGCATGCGTCACCCCCACCCATTTCGGCACACCCCCCGCATTTCTCGCACGGCAGGGTCATCACCACGGTGGCGCGCCAGGGGCGCACCTTGCGCGAAGGCGACGGGGCGGGGGAACGGCGCTCCGGGGGCGGCCAGACCTCCGGGGCGCGAGCAGTCCGCGGCCAGACCATCTCTCGGTCCTGTGGACTCTCGCCCTGGGCCGTCGGCTGCCCGGCGCGCTGCCCCCTCGGTCGACGTCGCCCAGGCGTGATCCTGGATTGCGGCCGCCACGAGGTAGGGACCGGCAAGAAGGAGGACGACGACTGGTGGCTGGAGCTCTACGTGCTGCTCTCGCGCGCCACGCGCCACGAGGACCTCCTGCTCATGCGGGCGCCGCGCATCGAGTTCTTCCTGGCAGGGCCGCCGCAGGGCTTGCGGAAACAGCTGGAGCAGTTTGCGGCGCGCACGAAGCGGTGCAGGAGGGAAGCGACGGCCCTCGCCAGGGAGCTCGGCTTCACCGAGTTCATCCGCGAGGCCTGACCTGAGGAGCGTCTCCCCGAGCCGCGCCTTCTCTCGACTGCCCGACTAATTGTTTGGCCTCGCGCCGCGGACGACCCGCGCGCGTCGCTGGGACCCTCTCGGGGCGACCAGCGCGCGTCGCGGGAACTCCGCGCTGCGGGGGGCCCGGCGCCTCGTTCGCCCGTCGTCGCTCTGCCCAGCGGTCAGAGACTTGCCCGCTATCGGCCAGCCAGTTAGCTAGTCAGCTCTCTCTGCTTCGCGCAGCGGACGACCCGCGCGCGTCGCTGGGACCCCGCCCGGGGCGACCAGCGCGCGTCGCGGGGATTCCGCGCTGCGCTGCGCCCGCAGCCTTGGATTTTGGAGTGCGCGGGCAAAGAGGAAGGAAAAGAAGAGCCGAAAGCGGGCGCGATCCTCGCAAGAGGCGTGCCGACATGGGCGTCGCGACGTGCGGGCGCTGCCGTCGGGGTTCCCGCGGAAGCTGCCTGCGGCGGCCACGCCCAGTGTCACGTGTGTTCGGGCAGGCATGCTCGACACTTACACTAGGCGGTTCCATGATCGCATTCATGCAAATATATTCACTCGCGCGCAGACCCATTCATACTCAGATTCCCTCGCGCTCTGACTCCCCCGCGTTCTTTCTCTCGTAATCAGATCTATCGTATTCCTTTGCGTTGTGTACCCCGCCACATTTCGGCACACCCCTCATGCGGTTCGTGGCCCCATAGGGAGCGCCACCGAAGAAGATACTCACAATTGCGATACTCACAACTGCATATGGTTGGGTCCTTCGCCAGGATAATTATTTTGGGGCTTTGGGGGCCCTTACCGGCCCTCGGGACCGTCAAAAAACGACTCAGGACGAAAAGTCGGCCCCGGGGAATGGGTCGAAACCTCGGGGGGTCGACGTCATGGGCCAGGAGGGTGCAGCAGGTCACCGCGTTCCCTCGCGCCTGGCCGGCCACCCTGCCGTTCTGGCCACTGCTCAGAGTGCTGCCAGCGACGCCCTCTGAACTTGGCCGCGGTTGGAGGCCCGGCGGCAGGCCGCCGTCGCGCCCCCTCCTTCCTCGGGACTTTCGACTTAGCCCCCAGTTGGATTTCTCCAGCATTGACACCCGTCGTGCTTGGAGCAAGAGGTATAAGCAGAGGTCTGCTGCGAGCGCCGCCGGTTTCCACGCGCAGCCGCTTGGTCGGCTTTCGGACGAGGCTCTTGGAGCCCTCTTGCTGCTTTGCAGCGCGATGGAAGTCCCCTCGCTTCTGCCGTCTCGGATGTTCATCGTTGCGTCGATGCTTGTGCCAGCACCTCTTGGGGGATTCAGACCCATCGGAGTTTTTGCGGCCCCTTCCAGCCTTTCGGGGCGGATCCGGCAGACCGCCGGCGATTGCCTGGGAGCAGGCCCGCCAGAGGCCCTGGTTCGCGGCAGGGAAGCGCACGGGGGCGTCCGGCACCGCCCGGCGGAAAGCCTTCCTCTCCGAAGGGGGGCTTCGCTGCCGGGCCGTGCTCGGTCGCGACCTCGCGGGATTTTTTCTCGCGCGCTGCGAGTCGCCCCCCATCGGGCGCGCGCGCGCCCGCTGCGGGCTGCACGACCTTCCGGCGGGGCATCGCCCGTCTCGTTGGCCGGGGGCGCCGCGCCCCGAGGCGCGCGAGTTGGAGCGGCGTGCCGAGCGTGGCCCTGCGCGCGCCGAGAGGCGCCGTCGCCGGCCGCCCGTGCGGCGCGGCGTCTGCTCCAGTGGACTCGCTGTCCGGCCTGGGCCGCGCTGCGCGGCGCCCGTGCGCGGGCCGCAGGCATCGCGTGGACGGCGGCGGCATCCACGCTGCAGGCGCCCGCCGAGCAGTTCTCCGAGGGGTCGCCCGCGGGCCCGGGGTTTCGACGCAGGTGCTGAGCGAGGAGGGGGGGTTCACGTCACGGTGGAGCCCAAGTTCCAGGACAGAGAGCGGACGCCCTGCTCCCCCACCTCTCGCGCGCACGCCTGGCAATCAACGCCACCTGCCTGAACGCCGTCTCCGTCCTGGCCGATGGCGCCAGCTGGGGCCTGCTGGTGGGGGCCCTACCCTCCCGGGGGGCTCGCGGGGCAACGGGTTCGCCTTGGTGGGGCGACGTGAGCCGGAGATGCGGCCGCTTTGCTGGTCCCGAACCTCTCTCTTGGGTTGGAAATTCAGGAGCAGATCGGGGGTGCCCTCGCGGGGCCGGCCGCCTCTGCCCGCGCGAACCTCGGCGTTGACAGCAGTGCTGGCACGAGGTGGTGCTGCGAGGTTTGAACGCCAGGTCTTCGACGGCGAAATGCGCGAGCTAGGGCGGAGAGGTCTGGGCGTCTCGCGGGCAGCATAGGTCGTCGGGCGCGCTCGGTTCGGGCATCTGGCCCTCTCCCTGCCTCGACTTACGCTTCGGAAAGTCCTTCGTGGGGCTTCCGGCGCCAAACTTCTCTCTGGCTGAGCCGCTCTTCCACGTTTATCTTGCAGCCCCAGTCTGGCGACCGCCAAGTGTTCATTTTACTTTGGTTGGAACGAGAGCAAAAA